GGGGGGGTGTGCAGCTTTGTCCTAGGCAAGGCAGCAACGCCGCCCTCAGCGAATCTGCCGCTCCAGGCAAACGCCTTGTTTGCCTCGCGGCAGATACGCCCCTGTGTGTGCTAGTAAGCTGTGTCTCCAAAGACACAGCAGGGCAACCCACTGTCCTGCTCTCTGCTCCTCCTTCCTCCTCCATTCTCCCAGCTAGTACATGAACAGCTGTTGGAGATTGTGCTCTCTTTTGTGATCTTGTACTGGGAAGGAAGGAAAGAGAGGAGAGAGAGAGAGAGAGAGAGAGAGAGAGAGAGAGCGTTGGAGCTATTGAGAAACATGGTGACTGTGATTGGGCAAAAAGTTCCAAAAAATGATTTGCTGGGCAATGGATATTTGTTTGCTCTGGAAAAAAAAACATTGCAGTACATCTCGCTATTGAGTACGAGTACCGATATTTATCTTTCATTACTCGCTGATACAAGTACTTCCAGGAGCATGGAGCCAGCTTCCGGGCCAATCAGGAAGCCGGGCAGCAGATTTCCTGATTGGCCGGGAAGCCAGATCCATGCTGTGTGGCTGGCTCAATACTGATTGGCCAGAATGCAGTGCATAGCTGAGCTATGCACTGCATCCTGGCCAATCAGCATTGAACAGGCCAAACAGCATGGGGCTGGCTTCTCGGCCAATCAGGTCGCCGCCCGGCTTCCCAGGGATGCGCCACAAACTGGCGGTGGTGAACCCCAACCTCACCTCAAATCCTTAGAAGGCTTATAAACCAGACTGACAAATAATCATCTGCCACATCATTTTATTTACTCTTTATACACACGGAACATCCCTCTATATATACACATCAGCATTTATACACATAGATTTTTTTTTTATACATTTTGTAGATTTTGAGAGGGGTGCCGGGTTATAGATACACACATTTTAGTAAATGTACAATAACCTGTAAGAATCGCAAAAAAAAGTTAAAAACGCGACATAAAATTCATACAGAACAAGCAAAAAAAAAAAACAAATATAACAAGTTGCGGTTCTGAACTTGTACAAAACCATTAAAATTTGCCCCTTATAAGGTTTGTCTTCCAACTTTTACCACGCAAACCGAAAAATCGATTGGGCCAGCGAGCGGCCAATTAAAAATAAAATAATAAAAACAACCACATGCAAAAGGTGCGTAAACCTGAATGAGTTCCAAATCGAACGTATTGCTGGAAAATGTTTCTCTCAGCGTGTTGGTAAAAACGTCAAAGGCCTCCTGGCAGTGGAGCGTTCACACCGATTGGCAGAAAGTGATCGACGACGCTTTGCGAGCGTTTCAGAACCTGCGGCGAATTCCAGTTTAAAGACGCCAGTTTCGCTGGTGGCTTCTAGGGTTCTGATATGTCAGAAGTGGCGGGAAAACGTGAAGTGAATGTGTGTAAGGCCCTCGGATTGGAAATTGACAAGACAAGTGGATGTGGGGACAAATACACAAGCCGATAATACCAAAAAGGCCGGAGAGTGCGAGGGTGGCGTTTGTTATATTCGCCAACATATTGAAAAGCAAAACAAAGCAGGGTGCAAATTGTGCAGTATAATTGGCAGTTGCCATAGCAACAATTGAGGAGCCATTTTGTACTTGTCTGACTTCAGTAAAGTGAATTTTGATTGATTGTGGTTGCAATGCTTTAAGTGTATGCCCAGCCAAAACCCTGTCAAGTCTTTATGGCTATCCAGGGCTCTGTTAGAGAAATTTCCCCTCACTTCCTGTCCTGAGGAAATCTCCAACAACGAAAATGCTTTTTGTTAGTAAAATAGGGGATGGCTAAAACTTCCCTGTCAGCTTTTTTTTTTTGCTGTCTGGATCTTGCTCACTTCCCATCTTGGGACATGGTTTCACCAGACAGGAAGTGAGGGTAAATCTGCAATAGAGACAAAAATACAAATGTTTTTATTAATAAAATAGGTGAGAGCTAGAAATCTTTATTGCAAATTTTCACTTGCTTCCTGCCTAGTGACAATGGTTTCCCCAAACAGGAAGTGAGAAAATCTTCATAACTGACACAGACAATAGTAAAAAAAAATTAATTGGTGAAATAGGGGAGAGCTAGAACCCATGGCAGCTTTTGTCTGTGTCTCTGTTGTAGGTTTTCGCTCACTTCCTGTCTGGCGAAACCACTGTGCCCAGACAGGAAGTGGGGTCACATCTGCAACAGCAACACAACCAAAAATAAAAATGCTTTTTATTAGTGAAATATTGGAGGGCCAGAACCCCTGTCAGCTTTTTATTGCTGCTTGAGCCTCTGTTGCATATTTGACCTCACTTCCTGTCTAGTGACAATGGTTTTACCAGAAAGGAAGTGAGGGGAAATCTCCAACAGCAACAAAAACATGTTTTATTAGTAAATTAGAGGCGGGCCAAAACCAGTCAGCATTTTATTGCTGCTTGGGCCTCTGTTGCAGATTTTACCTCACTTCCTGTCTAGTGAAACTGTTGTCACAGACCGTTAGTGAGGGGAAATTTCTCTAACAAAGTCCCAGATAGCAGCTAGATGCCGACAGGGGTTGCATTTCTTTCCCACTCTATCCAAAACGAAAGAAAAACGTTAAGGCTGGACATACACTTTAAGTAAGGCAGCAGGCCTCAATATGAAAGGTGAATCATCAGTGTTGCCCATAGCAACCATATTCCTTCATTTATGATGCCGGGACAGGTGCGAAAATAAGAAAATCTGATTGGTTGTCCTGCCCAACACAAATGTTTTAAACATAGATGAGGCCTACTTATTGTTCTTATTGACCCTGCGGTCTACGGTGGAGGGCGATACATATCATTTGTATGCAACAGCGTTACATTGATTGTGTAGAAGATAATTGTGATATGATACTGGAGGTGTATGTAGGAATGAGTGTTTGTGGGTGAATAATGATTCAGACACGTAGTCGTGCCAAGGCATGTGGAATGTCTGTGCAACAGTATTGAAGTAACGGCGAGTGTTTGCTGGACTACAGGAGAAAATGTGTGCAAACATTGACGCCAGTGCGCACAGCTTCACATACATGCTCATATCAGCACGAGTGTAAATGCGCACACACACCGAGATGTCGGACATGTGCATTAGCCGAAGGTTTCCTGGGATGCGTACACCATGTAGAGGAAGCCATCCTCATCCTTCTCCTGCTCATAGATGTCCAAGATGGCGGTGGAGACGCTAACCATGCTCCTTTGGTTCACCAACAGGAAGAAAGCTTGGGTTGGATTCAGCTGCAGTCGACGTCTAGGTCAGGGAGAGAGTAAGTCAGAATACAGTTTTAAAAGAACACAAACATTTCTCTAAGGGTCCATTCACAACAGAGCATTGCGGGAATTGCATGTTACCATGCGCATGGTATCGCACAACGCACCGAGCGTGCAGTAGGTGCACTGCATTGCCATTCATTTCAACGGCACCCCAATGCACCTACAGGTGGCAGTGCATTGCAAAGCTGCATGCAGGAGCACAAAACGATGTGTTGCATTGCATGAGTAAAAGCAGCACATGCACTACTTTTTCCCCACTGCGCCGCAACGCACGGTGTTCCAGTAACGGGTGTTGTGCTGCAATGCATGGCTACCGGGAGGTGCGTTGAGGTGCCATTCTAATAAAGGGCAACACAATGCACCTAGTGCACAGTACCGCATGCTAGGTGCATTGTGCGACAGCAGGCATTAAAGGAGAACTATGAGGGGAGTGATTTTCACTCATCCTCTCAGTTCTAGCCAACGTGTGACAATGAAACTGTCGGCTCAATAGATCAGGAAGTGAGAGAACACATACCGTCGCTCGCTCACTGCTCGATCCTAACCCTGCAGAGAGCTGTGACTGTCACTCACCGCTCCCTGCAGGGATCCCCCCCCCCCTCCGATCCTCCAGCACTGAGTGGATAGGCAGAGCCAGCTGTCCATCACGCAGCTGGGTGGATCTCGACAGTAATGTCGGGATCTGTCCCGGCTGCAGTGGTCTCAGTATACCTCTTTGTTCTGTCCCCAGTGTGTATAATCTGATCTCTCTTGCTCATTACAAGGTCCTGGACCTGTGTAGCAATGCTCCTGTGAATACTGCCAATGCTTGTTAAAATATATTAAAAAAAAAAATACATTGTACAAGCTGCCAAAAACAAAGGATCAAAAAAAAAAGTATTTTCTATTTAACCCCTTGCTATCACTATCTCACACTAATTAGCTTCTTCCTCCTGTATACAACAGGGACATTTACCTGTTGTACAGCTTATAGAAATATGTATAGGAGGAGGTTTTCATATTTTTTGTTTGCTTGTTTTTTTTTTTTAACAGTGTAACGAATAAAAGAAAAAGACACCCACAATATAAAAAAAAAACTAAAACGCACTATCGTTTGTAAATAACCTGGTATCACCATGGAAACATAACACTAGATCTGTAGTAACAAGATTATTACAGGTAAAGCATTTTTTTTTCCTCGTTAGTGACTTTAAAATTAGGGCTGTGCAAATTAACGATTAATTTCTCGATTAATCGTTAATCTTTTTGATCGCTAATGAAAATACTCCTCTCCGCCGGCTTCCGGGAGTCCCGTCAGAGATCCGGTGACCGTCACGGACATCGACGTCACCAGACTCCTCCCCCTTCCCCCAAGTGGCTCCGTTGGCTAACGAAGGGAAGGGGGGAGGAGTCCGGTGACGTAGATGTCCCCAAGTGGCTCTGTCGGCTATTGAAGGGAAGGGGGAGGAGTCTGGTGACGTCGATGTCCGTGGCGTCACCGGACTCCTCCCCCCTTCCCTTCGTTAGCCGACGAAGCCACTTGGGCCGGTGAGTTTGCCCAAGAAACTTTCTGCACGAGTGCCAGCCAAGGCTTTGGCCTATACACATACAGCACAGCAATGAAGTAATAAAATGAACTAGGATCACACTAATCCAGCACGTTCTTATTCTGAGTTGCCCCACTCAAGCGGCGGCCATATTGAGTGGGGCACGTGAGATTAATAACGTGCTGGATTAGTGTGATCCTAGCTCATTTTATTACTTCATTGCTGTGCTGTATGTGTATAGGCCAATGTAGTTGGCTTTGTATGTGCGTTATAATTAATCAAAATTAATCGATTTTTAAAAATGTGATTAATCGAACACGAAAATTTTAATCAGTAACAGCCCTATTTAAAATACATAGAACATTTTGACAATAAAAGTGAAATTTAAACTTCAGCTTTAAATAATTTGTAGGAGATACTAGTACCATAAGGGAAGCTTAGCCTGTTCCAAAAAAATCTCTGTATCCTTCCTATATCCTAGGTAATACAGCTGTTGCAGATCTAATAGCTGAAATGTGAAAGTGGCTTTTGGCACTTAATTGATTAAAGTGCACCTGTCATAAAAGAAATATACAGCAGCCATTGCCATTGGTCTTCTGAAAATTAATTTGAGGTCAATGACTTATTACTAAAGCCAGTGCTTCCAGCATGACAGCAAAGCAGCTAGCATTTTCAGAAGGTGGTCAACAGCAGCATCCTTCATACTTCTCGCATGAAGAGTTCCCTTAAAGAGGACCTGAATTCTGGAAGTTGTGCCCAAAAAAAAGGCAGGCAAACAGCAATTCACTAATCACCAGTGGGATGGTGGGATTTTCCTCCGGCGGATTTTTTGCCCCATTGCTTAGTTACCACAAGTAAGGGCTGTTTGGGGCTGTGTCTCTGAAGATGGCCATCTTGGAAGAGGCAGGACCTTGCTTCCTCATGCGAGTTCCTCCAGCAAGGAGAACAGTGAGAAGCACAGTAGTGTCACCACCAAATCTTACTCCGAACCTGGGCAGACTAGCAGTCAGGGGCAGTAGTGCCGGAGATCTCACACTTCAGATATACAGCTGTGAGGCTCTAGGCCCCCCTCACATACTAGAAGTGCACTGCTATTTGTCAGGAGGAATTTCAGACACAGATATATTTGCTGGGGTTCTGCTTTGGCACAATTCATATTTTAAAATGTTCCCTATAAACGTAGAAAATCGTCATTTTCTGAGTTCAGGTCCACTTTAAGAGCTTGTAAAGGGGGGCTATGATGTGAGGGCGGGGGGATTCTGACATGGAGGGGGTAATTCTGATGTGAAAGGGGGGCTCTGATGTGAAGGGGAAACCCCCCTTTTTTGTGTTTTTGCATAAGGGTCCCCTCTTAAAATTCTTACTAGACACCTGTCTGCGATGAGAGTCTGGTACGGGGCCAGACCCTTATCTCAGGGGCCATGTCAGTTTTTACATTTCAGACAGGGGTACATTCAGATTTTGCATACTTTCAAAGGGTGCCATCATGAAAACAGGTGAAGAATCCCTGATAGAGTGAATGTGTTGTGGTTACCTGATGATTTTCACCAGCTCGCTCATATTTACATGATCCGGGACCAGGAATTTGGTTTTGTCCAACACAGGAAGTTGTTTTTCCCCTTTATATCGCTCAATGATGACCTAGAAAAGAGAGAGGAGCCGGCTGTGTCACTATCGCTGTGGCTGGATGTATTTGGGGTGACATCATTCTGCACATTTCCCGTTCAGCCAGCAAACCATTATTTCCTGAAAGTGGTAATTACACTTGTATACTGCGTGCAGCTCAGAGGGAGCAGACCGAGGCGCCTCTTGTCTCTGAACCTCAGGGCAGACCGTTTGTGTCTATTCCCTAGTGTTCATCCCAATGCACTTATTGTTGATGGATTCCCCATCTCTGGTGGACAAATAGGACATTTTTATCTGTGTCCACACTGGGAGGTTTGCCCTGTCTATTGATTCTGGTGACCATTGTCACTGGGTCTGAAAACAATGGGAAATCCACAATGTTATATTTGTCATCAGAATAGGAACAGAGGGGAAATCTTTCACTGATGAGAACTGTCTAAGCGTCACCATACAATCTCTGTAAACTGTAAAAGGACAACGTAGCTAAGCTACCCAATCAATGTGTAGCCAATCAGGCAGGTCCTTGTATTAAATAGTGGTTGGTAGATCTAAAGAAGATTGTACAATCAGACTGCAAAGTGTGTGGCGGGCTTAAGGCGATATTCATACCATTTTCTGGACCAGATCTGGAACGCAGTGCATTGCGTTTTGATCGCGATTGTGTCGTGTTCCGGAACTGTTTCTCCCCTCCAATTTCTATGTCACTACTGTGTCCTGTAGTCATGTAGGCTCCGGCAGAAAGAACCACAGCAAGCAGCAGGGGTTCTCATACTCCTATATGTGTTAGTGTGGTACTTGTAGTCAGCAGTTATTAGTGGTGTGGGCGGCAGATGTTAACATCTACCCTTCCTGCCGTCCACGCCACCAATAACTGCTGACTACTAGAGCTACAGATTCGGGAGTGTTAGATCCCCTGCTGCTTGCTGTGGTTCCTTCCACAGGCTTGATTTTGGCATTTAAAAATAGACACAGGGTCTCTTTAATATGTTTCTTTTACTTACAGGGATTTTATTAGGATGTTGTTCGCGGATCTGACGAACTTCTGCGCATCTTTCAGCTAAAAGAAGAAAGACAAACATTGGCAACTGTACAAGTGGCGAAGCATAAAAAAACCACTATGCATGCAAATGTAAAAGATCCTCATTGCTAACTGGAACGTTCACTAAACATATACATTTGTTCTTCTCTCTAAATAAACAAAGGCCGGTATAGTGCACAATAGCTGGTTCTACTTGAAATATACAGTAAACTCCCAGTTATGCGGCACCCATGGGGATTGGTAGATGCCGGATAACTGTAGTCCCCCTGCCGCAAGATGTTTACATTTTGCTGGTAACTAGATTCCGCGGTCAGCAGCTGAATGTAAACCATGGGGAGCAATAGCCCCCCAGCTATTGGCTATTTCAAATTGCAATACCAATAGGCTGCCTATTGTACCCGCCCACTGAGCAGAGGAGTGGACCTGAGGGAGAACTTTCTCTCTTAAGAACATTCTCTGCAGCATTCAGGACCAACACGAGGAAGAAGGGAAGGAAGTAGACCTGTGACATCACCCAAGCAGTGAAGTCACAAGGGGGGTGCAGCCTGCACCGGGTGACACCATCAGAGGGGGTGACACCAAAATGACTGACAGTCGGGCACTTGGTCATGGACCAAGAGCTGCACAAGAGAGGAGGGGACCCAGCGGCATACCTTATCCTCATCCCCGAGATGGCCACCATATTTAAGCGCGTGTGACGTCGATAGGTGCATGCGAAATGATGTCATGCACATGCTTAATGATGTCAGGCACATGAGTAGTGATGTCAGGCACATGAATGATGACATCCCAGTGGGTGGCACCCGGGAGCTGCACTGAGGGACTCCCAGCCGGGGGTCGCCTCTGCACCCAAGCAGATCAAAGACACTTGGAAAAAAGATATGCATACAAAGGTTACCTAACCTGGATTTGGGCTTTAACCCATTCCCACCTGGTGGCCCTTTAAGGGAATCTTAACAGTGGGAACCAGAGGCGGGCTCCTGCACCATGTGATCACTGTGATTGGCTGTCAAAGTGGTCACATGATCAGCGGCCTGTCCAAGCAGTTCCTGGTCATAAATAGTGACCGGGAGCTGTCAGTGGCAGCTCGGTCACTGCGTTGGGAGTCCACGCTCAGCGGGTGCACATATGCATACAGCCAGCGTTAAAGGCCCACTTGCCGGGGTGATGCATATTCAAGTTACGCTGGAGGGAAACAAATATCACTGTAACAACTGATCAACTTAAAAATAATATTGGCCCCAAACCATGATAGTCTTCCTTTAAAGGAAACCTGTCAAGCACTGAAAATGGAGGCCGCCATTGCTGGCCCCTCCTTCTGAAAATGCCAGCTGTCTGCTCATCATGTTGAACCTCTTGCTAGAATACTTTAAAGACACATAGACTTTTTATTAGAAAACTGCACCTATGCTTTAGATTTTTGCTTCCTCACCTCATCCCCGACCACATAACATAGCCAAATGGAGCCACACAAAATGTCTGGGTGGAATTCTCCTTTAAGTAACATCGCTGAAGACATATTCTACAGATTTTTTTTCCATCTCTCATCACATTTTCATGAAAAACCCATCAAAGAAAGCAAGACGCCCCACCTGCTGAGTTTGCATCTTACAGTAATAGGTGAAAATAAGTCAGCGTGACTTCAATATAAATTAGCCTGCAGGCTTAGGCTTGCAACGGCATCATATTCATTATTGTTTTGTAATTCACTCTGAGGAACAGACAATGCCAACCAAACCAGATTCAGTAGCTGAAGTGGCAAAGAGGATGTGATGGTGTCACTCTCTGCATCATTATATATGTGTGCAGGATGCCGTAGACCCATCCTCTTTAGGGTCAATGACAAGTTGCACTCACATGATGTCCTCAGTCTTCCAGGTTGTATGATGATGTAGGTCATTTAAATCTAGAAGACTGGGAACATCTAGTGGTGAAAAGGAATAACTACAAGGAAAAGCACTGGATGAAAAGCTGCGACAGTGAAGGGTTCCAGTAGTATGCCCGTCCTTCCTCTCTCCTCGCCCATTCACAGAAGGCCTAGTATTTTTAATACAAGAATACAGGGCATTCTGTGAATGGATCAGGTGAGATCATGTTGCATAGCTGCCCCCCGCCCTCTCTCCTCGCCAGTTCACAGAAAGCCTTGTACTTTTTTTTCTACAAGAATGAAGGAGGTGACATCTGTGAATGAAGGAGGTGACATCATGTTGCATAGCCACACCTCCACAAAACGCCTTGTATTTTTTTAATACAAGGCATTCTGTGAATAGAGAAGGGGGGGACCATGACACATACCCATCCCTTCTCTCTCCTCACTCATTCACAAAAAGCCTTGTATATTTTCTACAAGAATACAAGGCGTTCTGTGAATGGAGGAGGTGAGATTATGTCACATACCCACCGCTCCTCTCTCCTTGTCCATTCACAAAGAGCCTTGTATTTTTTTCTATATACAAGAACACAAGGCGTTCTGTGAATAGAGGAGGTGAGATTATGTCACATACCCACCTCTCCTCTCTCCTTATCCATTCACAAAAAGCCTTGTATTTTTTTCTATATACAAGAACACAAGGCGTTCGGTGAATGGAGCAGGTGAGATCATGTTGCATAGCCGCATCCTTCTCTCTCCTCGCCCATTCACAAAAACCTGCTTATTTTTTATACAGGAATACAAGGCATCCTGTGAATGGAGCAGGTGAGATCATGTCACATACCCACCCCTCCTCTCCCATCCACAAAAATCCATGTATATGTTCTACAAGAATACAAGGTGTTCTGTGAATGTAAGAGGTGAGATCATGTTGCATATCAACCTCTCCTCTCCCATTCACAAAAAAGTGTGTATTTTTTAATATAAAAATACAAGGTGTTCTATGAATGGAGCAGGTGAGACCATGTCACATACCCACCCCTCCTCTCTCCCTGTCCATTCACAAAAAGCCTTGTATTTTTTTATATATATAAGAATACACAGCATTCTGTGAATGTAAGAAGGGATTGATCATGCTGCATAGCCCCACCCCCCCTTCTCGCTCCTTGCCCATTCACAAAAAGCCTTATATTTTTTCAACAAGAATACAAGGCATCCGTGAATGGAGCAGATAAGAACATATTGCATACCAACCCCTCCTCTCTCATTCACAACAAAACTTGTATTTTTTTCTCTTTTTTCATGGCATTCAGCTGTAAGCACCTTTAATAACATCCTGCTATCCCCCGCACAACAGACCTCTGCAATCCCTCCCTTCTCCTTTAATAGAGCAGGACAAGCAAAACCTCTGCAAACCATTGATTATGTGTCCCCCGCTGGGGATTTTTCCTCACTTCCTGTCTCGGTGACCGGCACAGGGACAGGAAGTGTGGGAGAATCTTCCCAGCAATCTTGTCTAAGGATCTGACCCTTCCACGCTGTATCCATAACTGAATAAAAAGTGTTTTGGCTGGAGTGACATGATAACATATGGAACGGCTCGTGTTTAACAAACAAGTGAGGAGAGTCATAGATTAAAATAGCCTGTGAGTGGAGGAAGGGCGTCATGTTTTTGCTGGAGGAAGGACATGCCCTGGATTGGGGCCACGTTCTCCGTGTATAATTCAGGTGTAAACACTGCAATGTTCTAAGAAAAACCCTGAATGCGGTATCACTGCTACACGGACTACGGGGGCAGAAATAGAACTGCCAAAGTGTCTACTTCAAAATCAGGGACAGACTGCTAACCGACATCACACGTCTTCAACAAGGGCTTACACAACTCTCTGACCTCAATGGGGTGTATCCGGGGTCACCCCTGCCTGGAAATGAACTTAATCTGCTTAAATGTTGCCTTCCCTGGTTCCTCCTAATATGTCCTACACTATGTCGTGGAGATATGAAGATTCCAGACCCCACATGAAGTCCTGACCCTGCACCTTTGAAATGACAGAACTCCGGATTTGTATATGGGGCCTCATAACAGGTTCCTGATAACCACACAGGACGTGTACGAGCGCAGCCAGCTATGCAGTCTGTAAATGAGTAACCCATGACCAGATCTCAGTGTCCTAGTTTTACCAAGAAAATCAAGATGGATGGATTTATTTTTCTGCAGGAGTTGACTTGTTCACGCTTCTAACAAAGGTTCACCAAGGACAGAGGTGTTGTCTCTGCAGACCGTGCTACTACACCAGGACCCCAACCTACAAGGGGGCCCATTTGTGTTACTATGAGAGTCAAGTTGAGCAGATGTCACGTTCCAGGCACAGTAAAGCCACTACCCCCTGCAAGCCAGCTGCTACCATTCCTTCTATCCAAGCTTCTTTGAAGTACCCGCAAGGGCTTGGGTGCAAATATCGGTGTATGGCCAGGCAGCGTAAAATATGCCTGTATATGTGCAGGGCCAGATTTACTCTCTGCTGCCCCAATGCCGCCCCAGTCGTGGCGGGCAGATCGCGTGGTTTCACGCCACGATTCCACCTGTGCAATTGAACACTCAAAAAAGCTGTACGTCGCAAAAAAAAGGTACTTGTACCTTTTTTTAGCGATTGCCACGTGGATGCAACCCCAGTGAAACCAATGCGGCCGCACGGCAACCGCTGTGTGCATCAGCACACGATTGCACGTCCCGGGTGCCGCTCAGGTCTGAACCTAGCCTAAAGGTGCCCATACACCTTACCAATATCTGCCGATTTTCTATTACGATCGCGTTTTCATCCGATATTCGTAAGGTTCACGGGGAGTGTACAACCGCAAATACTGTACAATCGTACAACGTTCGTCTTTCCAGCATGCCAGAAAACTTCGGTCGATCGTACAATTTTCGCAAGGTTGGTGGCATTTCCGTACGAATTTTGACGTACGGAAACGCCACCAAACCTGCGAAAGTCGATTGCGATTAACACTGCTGATGCGCAAACCAAAATCCGTGAGGTCGATTAACGAAATTCGTCCAGGTGATTTCTGCTGAAGACCGCTAATTGAACTGTGCGATGGTCGGGGCAGGATGGGACCGCCGTATGAAAATCGTACGACTGTTCGATAATCGGATGAAAATTTTCCTCCGACGATTGCAAGGTGTATGGCCACCCTAAGGGCTCAGTCACACCATCACAAAAAAGTGAGCCGCCGCAATGCAAGGCAGTGCGTTCTAGCCAGAATCGGGCCGGAACGCACAGTAACTGGTGTGAACGAGGCCTAAGACAGGAAGTGTGTTACTGGCAGGATCCTCAGGTGGAAATGATCAGAAAACAACCCTGAAAAACGGAAACCAATGCAGCCAGCACATCTAAGATGGATACATTGCAATACATTTTATTTCTGTTCTTGGCTTTATACTTTAATTGTCCAGCACCTACCAAAAACAAAAAAATAGGAGTTTTAGGTGGACCATAGTCCAGAGTTTCTGCATTGCCCAGAGTCTCACTTGCTCCATTTACATACATTGACCCTGACATATAGCTGGGTAGCACTGAAAATCGAGAACGGCATGCCAGGATGATTTTTTACTGGGTTCCTAATACTGAAAACACACACACGTCCAATCTGAACTAATCTAACAGTTTCAGATTCCATGAATGATGAATCACCGGAAATACAAGAGTACAGCAATGTGACGAGGAAATAAAAACATCACGTGATGGAGACACCTGCTATTAGCCATCACCTGCTGGGTGAAGACATTCCGACCTTCACTATATTTATCACACTGCTCTGGACAACAATCATTATCTCCAATTTTTCTTGTTAGAAAATAAAACGAGTCAAAGACAACTCCACACTCCTATGTAGAAGCAGATGGTCAGAAGATCATCAGATGGTGCTGATTTCCTCCCAAATTCCCAGTGACGATGGATTACGAGGACAAGATTAGACAGGGCTGGTTTTCTATGCGGTACCCAGTGATAGAGGACATAGGATTACATATTGCATTTTCTATATAATCCAGAAATCTCTTGGCTCTAAATCCATGGTGATTTAGGACAGGGGTAGAAGACCTTCACAGTCCTAAGGGGCCTTGGGCCTTTCACATTCAAATTTAGCAATCCAAATATAGACATTGTAAAATAGTGTTGCGGTTACGAACAATATAACAGAAACAATCTGAGTAGATGACCTTCACAGTCCTAAAAGGGCTTCGGGCCTTTCACATTCAAGATTAGTAATTCAATTACAGACATTGTAGAATATAGTTGCAATTACCAGCAATGGAGCATATTTATGTAGATGAAAGATCATGCTCTTATCAATGTACCATGGTGGACCATAACAGGGGTAATCTGAGTAGAAGACCTTCAAAGTCCTAAAGGGCCTTGGGCCTTTCACATTCAAAATTTGCAATCCAATTTTAGACACTGTAAAATAGTATTGCAGTTATCAGCAATGGAGCATATTTCTGTGGATGAAAGATCATGCTCTTGCCACTGTAAATGCATGGTGGGCTATAACAGCAACAATCTGAGTAGATGACCTTCACTGTCCTAAAGGGCTTCGGGCCTTTCACATTCAAAATTAGTAATTCAATTATAGACGTTGCAGTTACCAGCAATGGAGCGTATTTATGTAGATAAAAGATCATGCTCTTATCAATATACATCCACTTTGGACCATAACAGAGATATTCTGAGTAGAAGACCTTCAAAGTCCTAAAGGGCTTTGACATTGTAGAATATAATTGCAATTACCAACAAAAGAGCATGATTATGTAGATGAAAGAGCATGCTCTTATCAATGTACATCCATAGTGGACCATAACAGGGGTAATCTGAGTAGAAGACCTTATAAGTCCTAAAGGGCCTCGGGCCTTTCACATTGAAGATTAGTGATCCAATTATAGACACTGTAAAATAGTATTGCAGTTATCAGTGTTGTGGAAATTTTACTAGGATGTGTTTTTAGTGTATTGTAATATTTTGTCATTAGTCTCTCAGTGTCAGGTAAATAGACACTGGGAGGTTAATCCATTTGGAGGAGATTTCTTATGCGCGGCGGAGCAGTGTCTTCTTGGCGAATGTATGGACGCCGGCTGGGGCCCCCCGTGCAATGCATGGATTTATTGGCTTGCGTGGATACATTTGTTTGGAACACAGTATATGAAAGGAACGTGCGTTTGTTCTCTCTGGTGTGCCTGATCAACACGCTTGAGATAATATAACGTTGTCCCTGTGAATGAGCGCGCATGAGAATCCTATTAACGTTATGTGGCATTGATCACTGAGCAACGCTGGATAAAGTCACTCCGGTGGTCATAGATTGTTCTACTACATGTGATTGTTCTACTACATGTGTTTTGTTAGCTGGCTCCTGTTCACTTCCTGTCTGTCCCACTTCCTGGTTTGCTGGTTGTTGAAATCATCTGTTGGTTTGCCATCACTTCCTGTCTCGCTGTTTGAGACACCCCTTCCTGTCTGACATCACTTCCTGTTGGGCAGGTATAAACAATAAACATACCTGCGCTCAGGTCTCTTAGCATGGGATTAACAAACAAGCAACATCTGTCTCCTGACTCTACATGACTCTGAAGGAAATACTTCCAGTCCTTGCATAAAGGAGCGTAGTACAACGGGGGAAATTCTTTGTGTTTGGCGCAGCTTAATGCGACATGGATTTGTGCGTTGAACCAAGTGAATTTCCATAACATCAGCAATGGAGCATATTTATGTGGATGAAAGAACATGCTCTTATCACTGTAAATCCATGGTGGACTATAACAGGGTTGGTCTAGTTAGAGGACTCTCACAGTCCTAAGGGGCATCTGGCCTTTCACACTGAAGATTAATGATCCAGTTATAGACATCAAATATTGTTGCAGTTGCCAACAATGCAGAATATTTCTGGGCAGGGACATCCCCATAGGCCTGCTCAGTGGCTGATAGCTTGGCCACCCACTGGCGGAGAAAAAGGTAAGGAGGGCCCTGTTTTTGTGGATGAAAGTTCCTTGCATTAGAACAGGAATTATTGTCACCTCTACGGTAGCATTTGCCTCCTATCTTCCCTCCATTCCAGTGCTAAAACCTCCATCATTTGACAGTTCTGGCAGTGTCCCCCACTGCATGCCATGGTCCTTTCCTCCGACCCCAACACCGCTGCTTCTGTAGTGATGTAGGAGCCTGCAGGTTGAACCATGGTGAAAGGTGGGTGCAGCTAGGATCACAAGTCTGATAGCTTTTTCATGCCCACCATATGTCACTGACTATAGATTTCGCTCTGATCAGTGTTTGAATGGTGAAGTATCCGCCAACTCAGGGCCGCCAACCCAGCATATTTTGTTAAGTAAACACCCGCCTTGCTTCCGGGGTTCAGCCGTTTGCTGGTCAACAAGGCTAACCAAAGTCCAGCCATCTTGTGACTTTTTGGGGATTTTGTTGGGTAAACAACCCCCTTGCTTCCCAGTCCAGCTGTTCCCTGGTCAACAAGCCTAACCAGAGTCCAGCGATCTTGTGACTTTTTGGGGATTTTGTTGGGTAAACAACCCCCTTGCTTCCCAGTCCAGCTGTTCCCTGGTCAACAAGCCTAACCAGAGTCCAGCGATCTTGTGACTTTTTGGGGATTTTGTTGGGTAAACAACCCCCTTGCTTCCCAGTCCAGCTGTTCCCTGGTCAACAAGCCTAACCAGAGTCCAGCGATCTTGTGACTTTTTGGGGATTTTGTTGGGTAAACAACCCCCTTGCTTCCCAGTCCAGCTGTTCCCTGGTCAACAAAGCTAAGCAAAGTCCAGAGATCTGGTGACCGTACTTTGTAAGGCCAGTATCGGACCGGGCTGGATCTCTACTCAAAATATGGTGATCTTCTGACTGTTGACTTTAAGGTCCAGTTCAGACAGGTCTAGATTTCTGTATTGCTCTTCAGTGCTCCAGATTACTTGGGGAGAAGTAGGGTTTCCACACAAAAAAGGTCAGTGACAAAACAGAAATTACACAACACTGGTTCTCCCGATTTGGAGATGTCTCTACAGCAGTTTTTTCTCAACCATGCTTTCATGAAACTATAAAGTTCATCCAGAGCTGGCTAGGGGTTCCTTGAGCAATGAGCAATTTCTGCCTCTCAGATAAGAAACCACTGACTGCCTGTAAGGTGGTGGTGGTGGCAGTGATGGGAAAGGGGGGGGTCTTCTTAATGACCACAAGTGGAAGAAGCATTCTTCCCAGTTACCGTCATTCTAATGTACAGTGAGCTGTAGATATAAAAATTATCATCAAGGGTTCCATGAGACCAGAAAGTTATTTCAAGGGTTCCTCCATGTTAAAAAGGTTGAGAACAGCTTCTCTACAGGGCACCAAGGCCAGGTCAGGTTTTTTTCTCCCACACGGCTTTTTCCTGGATGGACATTGCCTTGGCGGCCCTGTTGAGCAACTGATATCCAGCCCCTGATCTCTAGTGAGGGATCGGAGACTTTGGAACAGGCAGAAGTGTATCAGGCTTACACAACAAGGGACTCGTGACACTCATCAACAATCACTCAGCGCTGCAGCTGTCTCCTACCACTGCTGGTCCCAGCAAGCCAACAACAACCCAAGCCATATTCTCTACCAAGCCATGATCTCCAGAAAGCAGAGGCCAACCTTCATCACAATAAAAAACAACACAAAGTCTTGTCTGGATCACAAAGACAAATATGACAACAAAGAAGTGGCCAGTGAAGAACATGAGTCAGATCTCCTGACGGTAGACAATAAGGCTCCCACAATGGGTCTTATGTATAGAGACTGATGATGTTGCCCATAGCAACCAACCAGCTGTCAATCAACTGACATAATAAAGGATGTACGATCTAAGACATTTATGTTCATATTTTTTTTTTAGTACGATTTATTTTTTGTACTGTAGATGGAAGAATAGCAAGGCGATGAAATGCAAGACTATGGCTGCAGGCTAGGGAGACATGGATCCAGCTTTAATAGAAGGCCACTGGAAAGCAGCAACAAAACAATGAGCAACATATAATCCACCCTAAGATGTCAGCACTCACCAAAGCTCCTCCTGTGTTTAAAAGGCCGTTCTGACGGCATCCTCAGCCCCGACTCCGCTCACAGACCGGCCGATCGTTCAGAGGGGGATCCCCAGTTCTCTCCTCTTACCCGATCTTCTCGTCCCGATTCTCCCCGACAGCCCTGAGACCCAACGAGTGCCGTGCGACTATCTCCGAGACTCTGCGCTCACTCTGTACGGGTACAATGTTACCAGCTGCATGACGTCATAGGCGAGCTGAGCCAGGATCTGCCGCCATCTAGTGGCTGTTCTTAGGGACTGCCTAATCCGGACGGTCTGTTCCGAACGTTTATTTTATAACAAATCATTCTTATTTCTAACTCTGTACACGTAAAAAGCAATCAAACAGCTACGGATGTGAATTTATTGATGTGGCTGCTCAGTTTAATGTATTAAAAGAGGAAAATGTGTCACCTTGCATATATTTACGAGTTTAATATGATTATAATGAATTTATATCTCATTTATAATGAAGGACAAACATTACAGTTAAAATCAACCTGTTCATATTGATGCAATATGTGTGTGTGTGTATGTCTGTAACATACTGATAGGGGATTGGAGACCCTACAATGCAGTGCCTCGTTAGCGCAGTAGGTAGCGCGTCAGTCTCATAATCTGAAGGTCGTGAGTTCGATCCTCACACGGGGCATGAGTATTTTTTTTTTTTTTTTTATTATTTAATATCCTCTGCCATATTGAAAAAACTTAAATCTTCAGCAAATGTGAAAGTAACCCAAATATTATAGTCTTACAGAAGAGCAAGGCTGCAGAGATTTTGTTTCTTTTAAAGTGCACTTTTATGTGTAAGTGTACGTATCCTTTTTTCCCCCCCCCCACTGTGATAACCTAGCACCATCTGCCTCGTTCAGTGTTTCTCAACCTTTCTCTGTCATGGCATCTTTTTTTAGTATGCAGAATCTGTAGGCACCCAAGTCCAAAATGGGGTCCCCCACATCAGGAGCCCCACCTTCACATCACAGTCCCCTTCTTCGTATCAGGATCCCCTTCACAACAGAGTCCCATCTTTATATTAGTAGCCCCCCTCTCCCATCTGAGCCCCCACCGTTACATCAAGAGACACCTCAAATCGAAGTCACCCTTTACATCTGAGTGCCCCCTACACACAAGGAACCCTTCCTTTACATCAGAGTCCCCCTTCATCCGTGCCCCTCCCCTTTGCATCATAGTCCCCCCTTTGCATCAGAGTCCTCCCTTTCTCATCAGAGTTCCCCTCATAAAGTCCAAACCATATTTTATGTTACACCCATATTTAGGGTATAAAATTAAATATGAAATATATATTGTAGAATTACGGGGTGCTTCTTTTGTCAGAACGTTGTAATCCTTTGAATTAGGTGCTCGGACAGCTGGGTCATTAAGGTCTGAGATTATTTACAAACAATGACTACATGTCCCATCTGCCACCACGGCATTGACACTTTAAGTGGAACTGAAAAATGTTGCTGGCAGGTAGTCTTGTATTCCAGAAGAGATTCTTCTTCACTTCTGCCTGCCAGTAATGTTTCTTCTGGATATACACTGAGCCAAGCATGCCCAGCTCAGTGTAGATTCTTGGCATGCCTTGGTGCCTGGATGAATTAACTCTTGTGCATTTATACAGAAGGTGCAGCATGCCAAGTTGAGCAATCACGATGGCCAAAGACACTGAACCCAGAAGACGGCTGGGCAAAAATGTCAGCAGATGCGATGATACAAAGAGGGAGATTGCGGCCGTTGCAATATTGGACGGGTCTCTTTGGCAGGTGAGGCTTCCATAAGGTGCAAATATGATGTGCAGACGTATACTTAATGGGAAAAGTCTTCGGGACCCGCTGTTGACTTTACTTCCATTGTAACTTTAATTGCAAACAACTCCGGGAGCTTTTTAGTTTCATTAAATTAGTCACCAGGGCTGGTCTGCTACCTCCTGAATCTCACTATTGGTCCATTACCATGATGGAGAGCATCACCCTTCACACACACACACACACACACCAAACTCTTGGTAAGCAAGGTAGCCTATCAAGGATATGGGCCAACAGTGAGGGGCAGGAGAGGGAGGGTCAGAGTCACCAGTTCTAGGAGCTGTTTGCTATTTGCATATCTGAGCACCCCGGTTTGGTGAGGCAACATAGAAGTGACCTAACCACCATGGTAGAGTTCATGGGAGTCCAAGAGAGTTAACAGGCCAGGGGAGGGATAAAATAGAAGGAAGTTGGTGAGGCCAGTGTTGTTGTCTGCCAAGATGATAAACAGGGTAGGGTCAAGGGAGTACTGGTAAAGGGTGATGAGTGTGATGCTTTTAGTATGGTAGAGAAGCTGACAGGGCAGTGGAAGGGCAAGAGAGGTTGGCAAAAGCCATATTTCAATTAATAAATAGGTCACAATTGAGAAAATATATATGTGGTTCCATCATAAATGCAGTGGACCTCTGAAGTACATGGGGCTTCCCCAGTGACACCTGTCCTAGGTAACTGGAGCAAGCTATCAGCAACTATGGACCACCTAGGCCAAGGAGTGAGTTCTTTGCTACCGTTGGTACTATTGGTTCCCTGAAGAGTAGAATCCGGTCACACATTATTTCCATGTTCCTTAGGCTTGAGCTGTTAAAGCAGCAACATTTGCAACAACCTTGTAGTGTGAAGGGATACCTGATTGCATATAGAATGAATGGACTGTTTAGAAAGGTCATCATAGGTGGCACACATACAGTATGTATTGAGGGAGGGGAATTCTGTCTTTGGGTGCACACTTTGGCTCAGGTGTCTGCAGAAACAGACCAGGAGCACCCAAGCAATGACTGCAATGGGTGTAGGATGACAGGACAACAGACTACTCTAGGTTGAGAACCTAGCTGAAATTGTACCAGGCAACACATTTAGAATATAAACTGGTTCATATCAAGGTGTTATTCCAGAATCAAGGACCACACAGAGAAGAGTTGATGTATAGGGTTACAGGTCAGGCCAGGCCGGATACAAGTCAAGTCATGGATCACAGCTGGAGCAGGATCATTGATGTGACCAAAGATCTACCGTCATTGAGCAAAAAGCTTTGCTTCCTCTTGGCACAAATGTCCTGGAACATCAAGAGTGGCATGACCATCACTTGCCATCATGTGCATCTGGATGGGCAAGCAAGCTCTAGATAACTTGGACAACCAAACTGGAACGCGAGGTACAGGAATGTCCTCCGTTCCAGTGCAGTGCGATCTGAAAAAATGTTGCATGCACTACTACAAGAGGGAATTCCTGTACCTTGCGCTCCGGGGTGGGCAATCGCACTGCGAGTGGGGGGGCATGTCTGCAGTGCCATTAACATGAATGGCACCGACGCGCTCCCTCCCACCCCAGAACACTGCCGGCTTGATCTATGCGATCCAGTGCGTTCTGGGCGAGAACTGCACTGGATATGGTGTGACTGGGCTCTGAGGCTATTCTCTCTTCTGGTTGAATGTTCTCCGAGTATTATGGATGTAATAGAAATGTTTACATTGTGCTGATTCCCTCCGACATTCTCTAGATTTGTTATGTTGTATTCCCAACATACCAAGATGTATTTATTTCCTATGATACTCAGCGCCATCTAGTGGACATATTGAAGTATTTTCCCAATTCACTTTATGTTCTTTCTGAATTAAACTCGGGGTAGACAAACTCGGGGTAGACAAACTTTGAGGAAGCAGGGCTAAATGTACAGCGGGGAACTTGCTGCTTGTTTTATACAAATGATGTCGGCGATATCACTTGTATGCAGCCTGGGGGGCGCATTGAGGAACCTGGCACTGGGGCAGCAGAGAGAGTAAATCAAGCCCTGAGTACAACCCCTGCAGTGCCAGGGTAGCCCCATTGCAAGGGTTCATTTTGTAACTGCCTGGAGTTCTTCTTTAAGCAACCATTATGTGAATGGGGCAAAGTATTTTTTTTTTGGCTATCTTCTCTTCTGCTCGAATGTTCTTTAACTGACGCAAACAAATGTAGATGCAGTTTCAATGGACGAATAGCTATTTGATTGATTTACTTTTTTTGCAAATAGACCTCTTGTAGATTTGCACTGTTAATTGGAGCAAAGGCAAGAACAAAATATAGTGTATTAGAACAGACTTCCCTAAAATCCTCGCTTCTCTTTAAAAGAATTAACATTGAAACCAAGGCATGAGAAATAAGAAACGCAGGTTGGATGAATGAAGGTCAATGCACTCAGTACAATACAAATATAGAAGCGGGATCACGTTGATTCCACTCAGCATGAGGCACGGGTTGCCATGAATAATGTAGATTTGTGAAGAAAACAGAATAATGATATAGAGCGGTGCTGTTGTGACATTAGCAGAATACAGCTGTGTACGATATCTAAATATAACTTCCGATGGAGACAGACATCTACTGCTATTTAAATATTCATCTTCAGAAAGTAAGCGCGACTCAAAATCACCTTTGGATCAGTGCAGATTCTCCTGTTTGTGAAATGAAATCACATCCAGTATTAAGCGGCCCATACACCTTACGATTATCGGCCGATTTCCGTATGCGATTGCGTTTTTGTCCGATATTCGTAAGGTTGATGGGCAGCGTACAAGCGCAAATACTGTACAATCGTAAGACTTTTGACTAACCAGCAGGTTAGAAAGCTTCGATTGATCGTATGACTTTCGCAAGGTTGTTGGCGTTTCCGTATGTCAAAATTTGTACGATTAACACTGCTCATGCGCAAACGAAAATACGTGCGGACGATTACAGCGATTTTTCCAGGTGTTTTTTTTAAACTACCGCTAATTGAACCTTGCAATGATCGGGGCAGGATGGGTCCGCCGTACGAAAAGCGTACGACGGTTCAAACATCGGACGCAAATGTTTGTTCGATGATCGCAAGGTGTATGGGCACCTTTATAGCTAGGCAAACTATATTACCATTAAGATTCGAGGTGCGCAACTTCAGCACGCCAGCTTTTCACTACAAATCCCAACATGCCTCTCAAGTCATGCCTGTAACTGTCAGTCTTGCAATGCCTCATGGGACATGTAGTTATACAACAGCAGGAGGGCCAGAGTTGCCCACCCTTGATTTAGACAAATAAAGCCCAAAATATATTTATCATAAGGGGCAAAAAAAGAAAACTGCAGCGTCAGTTACAGGGTAGGCCTGTTGAAAATCGATATTGCAGTGTTAAGGTGGCTGAAATTCGAGCAGCGACAAAAGTTATTTCATCTATTGACTTAGAAGGAGCGGGTACAAATAATCTCAACCTCACAGTGACTGCACAGCTGTATTCCCTCTATGGGAGATAATTATATGTTCTTAGAGGAGTCATTCACCCATGTACAGAGACAGTAGACTTGTCACACTTGGAGCAGGGAAGCTATATTCAGCAGGAGCCATTTTAAGACCTCTCTGTTGTGTCCCAGTGAAAGTGGTTTCATTATCTTGGCTAAAAGCATGTAGTGATAACGCTTGTTATACACTGTGTATATATATCTATATCTATCTATATAGATACCCTGTTTCCCTGAAAATAAGACCTATCCCGAAAATAAGACCTAGTACTATTTTTGGGAATTGCTAAAATATAAGACCTGCCCTGAAAATAAGACCTAGTTATGACCATGCCCAGGGCCGGTGGTGGCATAAGGGGGAACTTGGAGAGGCAGGAGAGAATCAGCGTTGCCAACAAAGCCGGCGCTAGAGGAAGCGAGGCGGCAATGGAGGGAGCAGAGCCGCATAAGCCGATGCTTCCTCTATAGCGCCGGCTCCTGTCATAGGTGGAGTGATACCAAATGCACTCCGCCTGTGAGGAATCCATAGTGAAAGCGCGCTTCGCTCATTCTGGCCAGCGATTGGTTAGCAAATGGCTCTTAGGTACGGCACCCCTGATCACCATATTTTTGTACATGAATACATGTAGACTTTTCTACATGAATAAGTGTGGATTATTGTACATTAAAAAATGTACCTAAAATAAAAAAGACCTACCCCGAAAATAAGACCTAGTGTGTTTTTTTTGAGCCAAAAAAAATATAAGACAGTGTCTTATTTTCGGGGAAATACGGTAGATAGATAGAAGGGCTGGTAATGATTCAAATTTTCCTGTTCGATTAATCAAAATCTTTTTTAATCGATTAATTTTGATTAATTCTAACGCAACTACAGATCCAACTACATTGGCCTATACACATACAGCACAGCAATGAAGTAATAAAATGAACTAGGATCACACTATCGTATGGGATATGGAAGCCGAAGGCCTGTTCGAAAACACCTTTGCTGTCTGCAGTTAACAAGATAAAACATCTCCAATTTGCACAGGAACACAAGGATTGGACAGTCGAGCATTGGAAAAAAGTCATGTGGTCCGATCAATCACTTTCCAGTTGCATCATGCAGATGGCAGAGTGAGAATTTGGCGGGAACAGCATGAAAGCATGCACCCCACATGCATGAGTACAACCCTTCAAGCTGGTGGGGGCAGTGTTATGGTTTGGGGCATGTTTTCCTGGCATGATTTGGGCCCTTTAATTCGTGTGGAACAACGTCATATGAATCATTGTTAAGGAAGATGTCACTGGCTACGTAGGCAGAACAATAGTTCAACAGGGATCTGAAATCCTTTTAAAGCTTATTCACAATTACACCATGTGATGCATTTTGGTGCTTTGCAATTAAAAAAAAAAAGAGGCTCACGTCCAATTTTGATTTGGTGTGCCGCCAGCCCATTTAAAAGGAATGAGCTGCCTTAAAGTAGAAGGGAAGACGATACAGTCACCCACCTTTTAAATGCTACCTGCTGCTCTTCTAAATCCTGCATTCACTTACCAATATATCTCAATGGAAATTAAAAAAATTTAAAACTTTCCAAGCGGTCATGTGACCACAAAGCTCCGGCATGTGCCTGTTGGAGCGGCTGGTGGGCATGAACTCTTTTAGGCCCATCAACACCTTAGAGCTATGGCTAACGATGGGATGACCTCAAAGCTTTAAGCATTCAATGCCATTGTTAGCCCTGCTCAGACAGACATACATAATAGAGGCTCCACAGCAGCTTTTAGCCCGTTTCCCATAGAACCTTTATCTTACTCCGTTCTGGATATGATCGTACACATAAAATCAATGATATAATAAGGCTTTTTATGCAGAGCCAACAAGCTCCATGTGCCACTTTAATGGCGACTGAAGGGAACGCAAAGCAACATGGAGACATTTTCACTATTAAAAAACAAAAACAAAAACCAGAAGAAACAAAAGTTTCCCACACACACTTAATCTCGCTAGAAAAAGGTCAGAAGCTCTTTATTATAATAATACATATTAATAAGGTTACGGTCCACATATAGCATGATTACCCCCCCCAGGTACAGCTATTTACTGTGGGACTTGTTAGGTTCCATACTACCGGCGCTCAGTCTGGACCTCAGAGACCTCTAACAGTGCATGTCTCTCATTATACTGGGGCACAGGTACGCTGTTAAGTCACTAGTATAATGTTGGCCATATAGCGTAAGAGGGGTAGGCAAACTCCGACCCTCCAGCTATGGTGAAACTACAAAATCTCATTATGCATCTGCCTATGACTGTCAGAGTCTTCCAATGACTAATGGGATTTGTAGTTGTACCTCAGCTGGAGGGCTGGACTTGGCTTACGCCCGGTGTAAGACTTTATGTTCAATTCACAAAACTTTAACACGATGGTAGGGATCTTTATTTTTCGTGTGTGACTTTATTTTCCAATCTCAGCTGAAAATAGAGATCACTTTTTTTAAAATAAGGATCCCCAACCTCGTTATGTAAAAGGGAGAAATATGTTTTTGTTGTAGAACGCACAACTCTTCACTGTTGTGTTTGTGTCCCCTGGAAAGAGATTCCCGCCCTCTACTTGTCCTGGTGACCACTGTCAGGCCCCGGGGGCGGTTTGGCCGTGCGGATCCACCAACATGAACAATCCCATACATTGCTATAGGGACCGTTCATGCGACCGCACAGCTCAGCACAATCCGCCAACCCCCCCCGACCCTTTTTCTGCCGTGCTGATCAGTGCAGTTTCAATGAAAACACGCTGATCAGCGCGGTTTTGGGCATTTTTTATTGCGTTTCAGCGCTGAAACGCAATTAAAAACTCAGAAAACCTCCCTTTTGAAATCAGATAATTGATTTGATAAAAGGGAAATCCAAACATTTGGAGTTGTCATCAAAGCAAGAGGTGAGGCTTAAATCTTCCACCTTTTCCTGTGGCAACTGCTTTAGGCTGGCCATACACCTAGCAATGTTCTTCATTCAACCCGCGTGCTGAACAAAAAAAAAAATGTACTCGATTCCTCCATCAACACTAAAAGCCTGTCGATCAAGGAATCGACGCTGTTTGCATTGTATTCTGACAGGCGCTGCCGTCCCGTCAGAACACCCGATCAGAGCGGGCAGCGCATTGGCTGCTGTCTCTGATCGATCGACAATTTTCGAGCCGGCTCCTTCGGTCAGCACATCAAGGAATGCCGGCTAAAAGGGTGCCAACAGCCCCATGCACTGTGCGAATTCCGGTCAGCACATTAAAAACAGGCCGAAATTCGACCAGTGTATGAGCACCTTATGATGGGAATTCTTTGGAAAGACCTCTAGTTGCACCTCTAGAACAGGAAGTAAGGGTAAATCTCCCCAGAGTGACACAGACAGCAAAGAATAGCTTTAAAAAACTTAGAAAAAAAAAGGTTTGGGCTTGGCATACACTTATACTGTGTGAATTGAGTCTGTTGTGTCTGAATTCATCTGTCAGATTTACAAAATAAATTAGTAGTAGGGAGAAGGCCTAAGTCCACTTAGGTTATACGCGGGGAGTAAACTCTGCATAATATATACATCTGGTGGTCATTTCGACAGATCAATTATAAAGTAAAACTGACTGTGTGTGGCCAGCATAATAGAGCAACACAATCCCACTCGTGATGGGAACTGAAAAGCATGCAGTATAAAGCCCGGGACACACCGCATGCGAAGCCGTGCAGAGCGAAGCAAAGTTGTCAGGCACGGAGCTTCGCATGCAGTGTGTGAGCGGAGTGCAGTCAAATGAATGAATGCATCTTCCGCCAATCGGCTCGCGCGTAACAACCGGATGGGGTTCACATCGTGACACGCGGGTTTATCTGCACTAGCCCATTGGCTGAAGATAACATTTTTCATGTCAACAAGTTCAGCGATGCGAGCTCTCGCAAGCTGACGTGCCGGAGAGAAAATAACATGACACACTGCACAGGAAGGCAACGCGCCACCGCGTGCAGTGTGTCACAGCCTTAAGGGGCCTGGAGGACTGGAGCTGACCAATGTACTGTATTCCTCTTTGCACTAGGCATCCATGACAGCAGGAGTGAGAAGTCAGCGTATAAAGCTTTAATGTAGTCTTGATCTGTCAGGCCTTTGTGTTCACCTTTTAGATGCTGTTTTAGGCAGGTCCACAAACCAAAAAAAACATGGAGGTGTGCTCAATAACAAAAAAATGAGGATTGCTGCTGTCAACGGAGGGATTACTCTGATGGCTGCTGGATGACCACTAACATGTAGTCTTTATCTGGAAATAAACAGAAAGGTAAAAGGGTTGTTAATTGTTAAAGGGTAATTCCACTTCCAGTCCTTCCCAAATATTCCAAATACACTTTAATGGGAGGTTCCACAAACACTCTACTCTCTTATCTCAGATGATGCGTCAATTATGACATTAAAGTGGACCTTTACCCCCTTTCACTAAAAATCACAGCAGCATGCAGCTCTGCGTGCTGAATTAAAATCCTCTTACATCCATTAGTTTATCAAACTTGTTTTTCATTTACTTGCAAATTCATCTACTTCCTGGTCCACTTCTGGCACAAATGATGCAATGTTCCCAAGTGTTGTATCCTGGCAAGGTTACATCAGCAGAGCAATGCTGGGAAATCTCATGAGATCTCAGGGAAAGGCCTTTTCCTCCCCTGAGATGATGTGCGTGGTCACATGTCCTAGTCACATGTGCCAGAGTTCCAGGAAGTAAAAGGAGAGCTAGTAATCAGCCCTTAGTTAACATGGCCACTGTCAGAAGACTCGGGAAGAAAGGAGAAAGAAGGTATGCGAAGAATAAAAAGCCGGCGATTATCTAGAAGTATGTGTTTGTAGATTGTCATTACTAAACATTTCTAAAGGTGTATTTGTTGTTATGTTAAAGATCTGGGTAAAGGTCCGTTTTAAGGAGATCCTGTTATGAACTTAAAAAATGGGAGGTAAAAGCTATGCGCCTCTGTACTTGTTAGCAGATTCCCTAGTCCAGTCCCCTCCTTTCATGCACACCATAGGTCTCTCTTCTTCTGGAAGAGTCTAATTACCATCTGTAATGGCCCAGCTCCTCCATTTCTATGTAGCACCTTGGGGAGGAACAACAGAGAGAACTATAGAGTGTCACTTGAGTAACAATTCTGAGTCTACTGGGGCTGCTAACATCACATCCAAGATGGCAACATCCAGCAGCAGTCTCTGGGCTTTTGGGTGTCTTCACTCTGACTGCCTTTAGCGATCCCTTAAGATTCATCTCTTCAGGGAAGCCTATCCCACCTCATACTAACCACTGAACCATCACGTTCTCAAACAGTTCATCCCCACACAGATACCTCCTCATGTATCACTCCCCCCTCCCTTTTAGATTGTAAGCCCTCTGGGCAGGATAGCATGCATATGTACTCGGTACTTGGTTTGGGCCCCTTTTGCAGCACTTACTGCAATTACTTTTGCACGATATTCTAATTATTCGAGTTTCACCTGTAAATCCTGTATAATAATATTTCACAAGGGGGGCTTTTACAGGTACATAACATCCGTAAAATATATTAAATGCACATCATAGGGTAAGATTTTTGTTGAAACACATGTATTGGTGACAGGGTCTCTTGAATGGCAACATGCTAGTGCAAACACCTGCCCTACTATGGCTATAACTGAACTGTGTGTCTGCGCACAGCAGTGATTACAAATCTATACCAGACTACTGCAGTTTGTAATTCCACTTGCTCAGCTTTGGCGTAGGCCAGGTCACATGTTAGTTACAAAAATGTGAAACTACAAAACACTTGCCTTTTTCTAGCCATATATGTAAAGAGACTCTGTGACTGAGGGACGGTGGCCAAACTACTGCAGGTACCTAGAGGTGGACCTACTGCAGCTAAACCTTCCTGCCACAACGGCATCTCGGGCTAAGCTTTAGCACTTCCTGGACATTAGTACTGGGCATTGAGACTGTCCATCGTAGTAATAAGCCAATATGAATGAGGGAGGGCTTTACAGCAAGCCCCCCAGAGTTCAGAAAGCTATGTGGAAGTGGTGATCCCCTGCATGCTAGATCAGCCTAGCATAGGCTGGCCACAACAGGAAGGTATTGGAGGCTGCTGCAGGTCACCACACTTCACACCACAGTCTGCCACCCCTTCCCCTCATGACAGAGCTTTTATGAATACCTGTAAAGTACAATCTGTGACGATGTTGGGAGATGTATGCTGTGTAGGGATCTTACCTGGAGCTATCATGATCTCATTTTTCTTTGATCGCACCCGGAGGAATGTCAGATCATTCTGGGGGTCAATATCCCGCAGCGTGCACCTGGCTTTCATCACTAGCTGATGCATTAGACCTGCATACTGCGCCGTAGTGGCGTTATCCATAGTACTCTTGATGGGAATTCCTACAAAAGAGAAAAGTGCGCATTATTTAGAAGCATATTTGCAGAGGAATAAAATGATGATGAAAGTTTTCTTTCATCAAATGTGGAGTCCAATCTGTGAGCAAACACAGATCTATAATACATTTTCTCCCTAGGGCATAAAGCAAACCTCTAGTGTTTTTATATCACCAACCCCTCAAAGTGTGGGCAGGGCTGGGGCAACACTAATAATAGACCAACATTTTTAGCAGGTGATCTTTGTGCCAGTAAGGGCTCCCAGAAGCCCACAGAGCCTTGTTCTGACAATGTCTATGTGCTGCTAAGTCACACATGTTTCTCACACTTAGTGGGGATTGCTGAGCAGGCTGCATGGCACCCCAGTGAGCCACTTGGTATTGTTACGTCCAGCCACTGACCCCACCTACTTTGGTAGACCACACCTACTCTCCAGCCTCCAACCCCATCTACTCTCCAGCCTCTGCCCACCACCTCTCCTCCAGCTTTTGACCCCACCATCTCTCCACCCTCCAAACCCACCTACCCTGCGAACCCACCTTCTCCACCCTCCGAACCCACCTTCTCTCCACCCTCCAAACCCACCTACTCTCCACCCTCCGACCCCACCTACTCTCCTCCAGCTTCCGACCCCACCTACTCTCCAGCCCTCCGACCCCACCTACTCTGTCTCACTTGACCATAAACATTGCTCCCCTGCGATGCAGTATTGGTCTGTGAGCTCTCACAGACCTGTAGCTAGCAAAGACAAGGAAACCATGTTCATTACCCATAGACTGACACTTTTCTCATTTCATTCACTTCCTGTCCGCTCACCTTCTGTGTTAACAATGATAATTCCTTGTACGCCTTTCTGGCCCTGGATTCTCTTTAATGTTTCTTCAACGTCCGCCTATGAAACAGAAAACAAGTATGAACCTTATAATGAAGCATATGAAAATGTGACTTCCTCCCATGATGCAGTGCTCGGGTCTAGTGGCCATACATGACGGAGGGGTTGCTGCTCCCGCTGTGGCCCGACACCGTTTATTTTACCGTCAGCTGTGATAGAAGAAATAGCAGCATGCGAGTGCCAGAGAGGAAAGTATAAACTGGTCAGGGACGATATTTAACTCTAAAAAGGGTAGAAAAGCAATTTTACCCTCCAAAGGAGCTGTGCTTCTGTCCATCCAGTCCTGAGATTTACATATCTCAGTGTGGAATACAGTGCTGTCCGCTTTCCAAATACAGCCTTCTGATTGGACAGGGAGAGTGCAGCAGCAGACTGATGAGATCATCCCTCTGCTCTCTTTATGAGCACGCCTCTAGTCAACAAATATGTATGCAGCACACCCGATTGCCCTCAATACTGCCCGTCCCTCTCCCAGCCTAAGTGCTGCTGTACGTGGCATAGCAAGGGGCTAAAAACAAGTCAAATTCAGGTACGTAAACTATTGGAGAGATATCCTCTCATTTCCTGTTGAGTCTACAAGACAGGAAGTAGAAGTTTTTTTTCCCTAAGTCTACGGGGGTCGAAAATGTGCGATTCGGTGCATGTATTTTTCATTTTTTTTGGAGGGGTGAACAGGTGCCATTGAAAATAACAGGATTCATCACAAAGAGCGTTCTCAGGAAACCGCCCAGCAAACGCTGAGATGTGAATGGGAGGCCTAAAGCATAATCACTGTGCGCCATGCAGTAAAGACTGCATGGATGTTCTAGCATGGCAGCCTCCATATTGCCCCCCTTTAAATGGAAGGGGGTTCAAAGGTTCCTCATTGCAGCCCACCCCCACTACACATATGAATTTCTACAACATAGCCTCAGCTCTGTATGATAATGGTACACACAGGCTATAAAGAAGATGGTGGACCAATCACAGGAGAGGCCGGGTGACGTCACCGCCCCTAGCAACTATCCCCTCCAGCTCGATTCCTTCTCTTCAATAACCGAGCAGGATCCCCCCCAGCGTACAAAACCTCTAAGACGCTCCCCGGTAACGTTACCGCCATCAAATATCTCAACCCGTCGCATCACTCACCATGACCGCCGCCTTCCCCGTCTCCCAGTGTCACCAGATTGCACTGAGCATGCGCAGAAAGAAGCGTCATCCAGCGGCCGAGCCCTTGCTTGCCCCACCCTGATGTCATCCTTGGACAGCAAACAACCAATAGCAGCTGCTGGAGGGAAGCGCGTAGAGCCGATGTGTCTCCGGCGCAGGAGCCATTTTGTCGAAGCCAACGTACACGCCCTAAACAGGTTTGATGCTGGCAGAATGGCTGCTATTAAAGCCAAACTCCAGGTAAACAGTAAAACACACAGCAGGTCAAATACATATACAGAAACTACCTGGGATCTTTTAGACATTTTTATTCCAGAGATTGTGGGAAGAGTGGTGGACGGAGCTATAGGAGGTGATAGAAAGGGCCTGGTTTGAAGTCTGCAGCAAGGTGGGTAGTAGGGTTGCCACCTGTCCTTCAAGTGAAACTTGAACACTCTAGCGCCACCAGCCGCAATTTTGTTTTGTGGAGCATATAAAGGAGAGAGAGCAAGGATAGGCAGCCAGAGGAGGGAGTAAGGTGACTGGCTATAGAGGACTACAAATCCCAGCCATACATAATATGAAGCTACATACTGTGTGTGGTTCTGGGTTGATGCCCTGATGTCTCCACTGGCTATGCGGCTTTTTGTGACTCTTAGGTGGGCTATGGGGCTCTCAGGTGGGCTGTCTTGGTTGTGGTGTCTCACCAGGGGTCCAGAGGCAGGCAGCGTAGTGTCAGGATGGAGAGCGGGAGCAGACTGAAGAACATCTCCAATCTGCTCTGTGATGAATGAAATGGAAAGCGCTTTGCTCTCAGTACTTCCTGCTTCAGAGATGCTACAAGCCCGTCTCAAATGTCGGAGAAACAGAAAAGCTAAAGCACTGCGCACTGTTGGCGCTATATAAATCCTGTATAATCAAGCACAATCTGTATTGGAGGACGGGAGAGACATCAGAAGCCTAAGAACCTGTCACCTCCAAATGCTATCACATAGAAGCTTGTTGCGATAGCAAAAGTAAAAAATAAATAAATGAAACCAACCTTGCCGCTCCAGCCATCCAATTCCAATGAACATGTGCGCGTAATGCATGTACCTGTATGTAAGCGGAGGGAAGGGGGGCTGCCAGGTAGGCTGTATGTGACCCTTATGGTTCCTAAATGCAGCCCTGCTTGTGATGCTCCCTGCCCCTCCAGATAGGAATAGAACACGTTTTACAATATGATGATAGCGCGATTCACACAGACAAGGATTCTTTACATTGTTTTTTAGAGCATAGAAATAAAGCTGAACAATTTTATAATATTTTTTATTAAAGAAAAATTAAAACAGTGCAGAAAAATATACAGAAAAGAGACAAATAATACAACAGTAAAACAAGAAAGGGAATAGGAATGAAGTTACTTGGCAAAGCCTGGGTTCTTTGGGTTCCAGCAGAGTCCAATCAATGAAGCTTAAACTGATATTAAAGGCAACATTTTTTTTCCCTCCCCCCCCATGTAAATGTTAGCACTTACCTTAAATGATGTCTCTTATTCTGGTCTTCCTCTTCTTTCCCCATGTTTTCATGTGTCCCTCCAGCGGTGCGACGTCACTCCGATCCAGCGGTGTCTGCAGGCGGGTGCACGCGTCCATACAATTACCTTGCGTCTCTGCTAGTCTCCCGGCCGAGAATCGGAACTGCGCATGCGCCCGCCCCAAGATCCTTTGTGGCCGTACGAGCAGTTCCTGATTCTCGGCGCGGGAGCGAGCAGCGATAACGAGGTAAGTTTAAAATGATTTCAAGCGGTTTTTTTTACACTTCTTGCCTATATCTACTGCATGCTAGCAGTAGATATAAGCAAAAAAACCCGGAGAGTTTAGAACCCCTTTAAAATAGATGTGAGATTGGCTCTCTAGCAACAAGTCGCCAGATGTTCTTTTGTTGATGATAAAGGAGAGCTTCAGCACCTTTGCGCAGCAGCTTTTTGTGGGCCTTCTAGAGTAGGGGTAGCCAACATTGGCCCTCCAGCTATTGCGGAACGACAAGTCCCAAGATGCATTGCAAGCCTCAAGACAGCCACAGACATGACTCCCAGAGGCATTATGGGATTTGCAGTTTCACCACCACTTTGTTCTAGAGCAGTGGTGGCGAACCTTGGCACTCCAGCTGTGCCAAAACTACAAATCCCAATATGCATCTGCCTCTGGGAGTTATGTCTGTGGCTGTCAGAGCCTTGCAATGCCTCATGGGACTTGTAGTTCCAAAACAGCTGGAGTGCCAAGGTTCACCACCACTGTTCTAGAGGGCATCACCGAGCCAGCCTCCACCCAATCGGAAAGGCCCACGGGTGTAAGACTTCTGTTCTGTTTAAACTTCTACCCTTCATATTCACAGGGAGGTGGAGCAAGGGAACAAGAGAGGGAGTTCCTGGGGAGGTCCAACCTTGCATACTCTATTACTCAGCCATCATATTTACAGTATGCAAGCTTGGACTTCCCTCTCTTGCTCCACCTTTCTGTAAATATGAAAGTTAGAAGATTAAATATGATGAATGAGTAATAGAGTATGCAAGTTTGGACCTCCCCATCTTCCTCCACTGTTCTACCTCCCTGTGAATACAAAAGGTTTTAAGTCTATTACTCATCCATCATGTTTACACTTCTAACCCTCATATTCGCGGGGAAGGTAGAGAGGGCGTTCCTGGGGAGGTCCAACGTTGCATGATCTATGATTCACCCATCAGATTTACATTTTTAACCTTCATATTTCACAGGGTGGTGGCGCAAGGAAGGAAAATAGGGGGTTCCTGGGGAGGTCCATCCTTGCATACTCTAAATATGATGGATGAGTAGTAGAGTATGCAAGGTTGGACCTCCCCAGGAACTCCCTCCCTTGCTCCAGCTGCCTGCAAATATGAAAGTTAGAAGTTTAAATATGATGGGTGAATAATAGGGCATTCCTGGTGAGGTCCAACCTTGCATACTCTCTTCCTCCCTTGCTCTACCTTCCTGTGAATATAAAAGTTATAGGTGTAAACATGATAGACTAGTAATAAACTTGTATCTTCATAAACACAGGGAGGTGGAGCAAGAGAGGGTGCTTCTGGGGAGGACTAACCTTGCATACTCGCTCTTCCTCCCTTTGAATATAAAGGTTATAGGTTTAAACATGATAGACGAGTAATAAGCTTGTAACCTTTTCAATCCCAGGGAGGTGGAGCAAGAGAGAGCGCGTTCCCAGGGAGGTCCAACCTTGCATACTACATTACTTGTTCATCATATATGAATGATAGGGTATGTGAGGTTGGTCCCCCCCAGGAACTCCCTCTCTGCCTCCTTTGTTTCACCTCCCTGAGCCCCCCCTCCCTCCCCTTTCTCTACTCTTTTATTTCTAATCGGTCAGCTATTTTCCTGCCCCTCTTTTTCTATTCTTCGGTTGAATAGCTCTGGCACAACCAGTTCTTGTTTAGGCCTCGGTATTTCTCTATTTCTCACTAACCTTAGACCATGAGCACTCCAAGCTACAACCCAGCTGCTCAGGGCACACCAATCGAGACTCCATAGAACATACGTTTATGTTAGCCTCCCTTATACTTTGCCTTGTAATGGACCAATATTTTGGTTTGCCACCATTGCTGTATCGTGCTCTGGTATATTTTCCTGAAACATAATGCAAATTTATTGTAAAAGAATAAAAATAACCCAACACAACAAAACTGAGCAAAAATCTTTTAATTTTTTTTACATTTGAATTTTAACAATTGTTTTCCAACAGATTTTTGTTTACCTTAATCAGACATTGTTACAAGAAAGGGGAGCAGGGAGAGGGATCCAATTAAAAATCTACCGAGAGGAATCAACCCCTCACCTACAAGAAGGGCTAAAAAAAAAAAGTAGTCCCATCTCCCCGCCCCCACCCCTTCATGGGGCAAAACAAAAAAAATCCCAAATATATATTTATATTTATATATTTACAAGCAATTACGTCTTCCTATGTCATCGGTCATAAAAATAGTGTAGGAGCCTACCCTATAGAACTAGGGAGATGTCCATATTAATTATAGCTTTGTGTTAAAAATATAGGGTGGAAAGCCTCTGTATCTTATCTGCAAATGATTTACAAGTTCAATGTTTATTATAGAAGCCCCTTCTCCGTTATAAGATGTGCACCTTAAAACTTAAAAGGGGTTAAAGACCTACAGCTGAGGAAAAAGGAAAGGATGCAAAAGCCCTACTTAATATTTACACGTAGCTGGTTTTCACATCGTTTGGTAAAATCGGTTAGCTGTAGCTTAATCTGACAATAATTAGTGGGTGAGTTTAAAAGGGTGAGGTAACCAAAATGCACAAAAAAAGGAAAAACAAAACAAAAAACAAACCACAACAGTTCCACAGGTAATGGTGAGTGAAGATACGAGTATGGTATTGTGGGAATGGAGTGTTTTGATTGGCTCAGACATGCACCCACATGCTGCTTAGGTCTCTTCTACTGTGCTTGGCTCATGCTTGTGTCTAAAAGGTCATGTGACTGGACATCTACCATGTGCCTGCATTCAGTATCCCTATGGGATGAGCATCTGCCAGTGTGGAGACAAGCATACACAGTAGCACTGCATGTGTACATTATGCTACATTTTGGGAAATACGGTGCAATAATGTTCAAATATTGATTTGATTTAGGAAAAAGTGCAGAAGGTGCAGACCATGTAATAAATATTGGTATTTAATCGGAAATCTGTCTGTTTAGAGGCTACGGTGCTTGAACAAGCCTATAAATGCTCTCAGACATACAAGTGTCAGAGCCATCAGGCTAGGTTCACACCTGCACTAAACCGCACGACACCCGGAATGCGCGTCCCAGGATCGCGCAGTCATGTACAATGCAATGCAATAATTACATTAATTTCAATAGCGTGACATCCGCGCGGCAATCACAGAAAAAAAAAAAAAGGTACAAATACCTTTTTTTGCGATATACGACGTGCGGCTGGAAAACCACGCAATCCGCCCGGTGCGAGTGGGGTGACATTCGAAAATAATGGCACCCACAGCGCGATCGGTTCACATCTTGCCGACTCCTGACTGCGCGGCAA